TCAGACTGTTTATTTTTCAATTCATGTATTTAGTATATGATCAGAATTTCTATGACTAGAGTTCGAATTAGGTTTAATTTATATTCACAGCAGTAGTTTTTTTTGCTTAGTAGATAAAGATTAGTGTTAGTCAATTTTCTATTGATAGTAGTATCATATTTATTACAATTGTTATTTTGGCTTATTATAATACATTTACAAAGGTCAGCTTTTCATCGTATTATTGTTCGGCTGTGAATTTAATACTAAAATGCCATTTATTTATTCTAATTTTGAAAATCATTAATATTTTGGTGTTTATTAAATATGCAAAATATGTCATCTACGCATCGAACCCACATTAATGGTCTGTTGTTTGAGAATCTATCCAGGTTTTTGCTTAACGTGTGATATAAATAAATCTGCTAAGACAGGACCTAAAGGAGAGTTCATAACTACGTCATCAATTTGTATATATGGTTTGTTAAGAAAGTGAAAAGATACATTGTATACAGTAATTTCTAATAACTGTTTTAATTATTGGCAAATAAAAATCGAATCAATCACGTATGTAAGAAAATAAATTCGATAGGTGATGGTTTTTAATTAGTTGACATATATATTTAGAGAGATTATAATTATTTGAGTCAATAGATGAAATGATCTGGCCTTCGAGAAAAATAGAATTGATGTGTTTTTGATTGCCTATTCATGGTTGCACGAGACGAGAAGATTAAGTACATGTTCTAATACATTTTCTTACTAATTGTATTTCCTTTGTATAATTGTGGAAAACAGGTATTTAGGCATTTTTATTTTTCATTTATTGATGAGTGTTTTATGTGTTTAAATTGTTTAAGTTTCAGAATTTGTTCCATCTTTTCAATATAATCTTTTTTTTATCGAACATGACAATTAAATCACTTTTATCAGCACAACACATTACAACATCATGATTGTTTCTCAAAAATCGAAGACCATTAGATTCTTCATAAGTTTCCAACAAAATAAAAACTAATCATTATCAACAGATCCATGTTTTATTTTAATTAGCTTTCTTGATGTGCACCGGTAGTTTTTCTCGTTCTGTTCTCGATCTTGGATATAAGTATTTTTATAGTTGTTGAAAATCGGAACGAGTTAGTTTTGATTCTAAATGATTTATTAATTTCTTAGTTTCAAGTGCATATTTAATGCTGTCTTTATGTCGATTTTTATGCACTATTTGAAGACAGCAATATTTAAAAGCTGAATATTCGTTTATATATTTAATTCATGTTTTCCATCATACAGTTTTTAGAAATGCGGGTGTTAAACAATAGATAATGCATCAGCCCAAAAGTTCAAGATCACATTTTGATTTTTGTAGTTTAATAGAGAGTTTCTCAATTTTTCTGATTGTTAAGAATATCACATCGCCATACGTGGAGCGAATAAATGAAAAACACATTGAAGATAAAGCAGTAGGTAATTAAATACGAAATATTGGGTATAAAATTACTGCATACAACATAATTTTCTTTTGCTCTTGTGATTAGCTCTTGTTTTATCAATCTGTAGTTGCTGTATATAGAAACAATGTAGCTCACTTTTTGTTATTTTTTTTCTGAAGATGACAAACTTATCTTATCGAAAACTTGAATAAACAAATAAACATTTTTTTTCATAAAAATCTGCTGTGTTATTTGTAGTAGTTCTATACTCAATATTTCTTACTTAATGACCTATTGCTTTGTCACCAAATTATTGTACAATACATATTAGAAAGAGAGAAATAGACTTGGGTAATTATTGATTTCGACGTGAAAGAGGACAACCTATGTAATGATACAGGAAAGAAAAAGAAAAAACAACTTGCAGTACTTACTGAAAAGACCAACGAGTGCACTTATCGAAAAATGAATCCACATGAAAATGAATCTATTAAAGCTATTTGTTAAGAACATCGAATCGACTCGAATGTGTTAATAATGGATCAGTAAATTATTTAAATGGCTTGATATTGATTAATTCGGTTTATAAATAGATCTTAAAATCAGTAAATATAATTCGTTAGAGATCGATTATACAGTGCTGTGAAAAGTTATAGTCATCTTTTGACTTTGACTTCGCTCGAATTTTATTCTTCACTAATATCACTTTTCGTTTCAAATTCATTATTTATATATAGATTCACATGTACTCTTTCAATATTTATTGCAATAAATATTGAAAGAGCACGCATAAATCTATATATTGGTAGTGAACTCGAAACGAAATGATATTAGTGAAGGGTAACATTTGAGAGAAGTCAAAGTCGAATGGTGATTCTATAATTTTTCACAGCACTGTACAAAAGGATCAATATAAAAATTAAAATGTCCAGAGAATGAATCGCTTTCGCTCTTCTCTTCCTTTCTCTTCAGCTGTTCTACGTAGGTTCTCGTTCTGCTTTGAACCCATGCATTTTGTGCATAAGAAGAATCATTGTTTTATTTCTTCTTCTTCTTCTGAAACCAAGGGAAAGAAGATCTTCGACTTCTTCCCTGGTTGTTGTCTTTATGCATCCCCGTGTATAAATATTTAGTGTTTTTCAAATAAAAAAAACATACTTCGCGTTCACAAAATTTTACGTAGTTGTAATTATGGAAGTGGTACAAGTTTCTCAATATAAAAGCTATAGGTGCAGATGGAAAGGTGCTGGAAGAAGATCATGAAATACATGGGAATAAAAAGACTCTAAAAAACGAATCAAAATGATGGATTAAAAAAGATGCATTTGATAATACTGACAAACTAGAAGCGTCCATTGAAAATCAATAGACAAAATATTACAGAAGCTATATAGAGGATACAAAAAAAAACAAAAGTCGTGGTCCTCCGTGTCGGAGCAGATATTTATCTACTATATCATGCAGATGTTGATAGAGTAACCGTTTATGAAACTTTTGATGGTGAACTGCGGCAAACCCTCGGTTTTAACAAATACCGCGGTTTACCGCTAAAAATGATCCGGTTTTTTCGACACGGGAAGAAACTGAAACTAATTCTCTTCGAGCATTTGTGTCATGCTAATACTACTGATAAATTAGTATATGGCAAGGTTTTTCAGTATTAGCTATTATAACACCTGATTTGAATAAAGTATTTCATCCATTTGGTTTAGCAATATGCTTAAATGAAAAAAACAAAAGATTTTCAATTTATCTTCAGTAGTCTTCAAATTGGTATGAAAAAAGGGTATGTAGAAGTATGATTATTCGTTTGAAATAATGTAAAACTATCACCAGCAGCAAAGACAGTTCCGATAGGTGAGAATAGAAAAAGAGGCAGCACTACAAAGGCTAAATCTACTTTATTAATATAATAAATCAATTGTCATTTTCTTCTTTTTTCAATTATTTTTTCGATTTCTTCCTAATCATCTTGTGGTTCTTTGGCTTATTTAAATAAAAGAAAACATATAATGTCATTTAGCAGGTCATTCATCAAGAAAGTTCGATCAAAAATTGCTTTTTATGACCGACCATCCCTTCGCCTTCTCGACATTCGCTTTTGAAACATTTCTACAAAAGGCTTCAAAACACTTTGTCCAATTTTGGCTAGTGGCACATCTAGAAGTTTAAGAAGAGTGGGCGATCATGATCACAATATGTTTTTTTTAAGTACATTACAGATAAAACTAGTTTGGGCTACCCCGTTGTGTTGAACGTCCTTTATGAAAGCCCCATAAGATTATATAATTAAAAAAAAATGACTTCATCTCTTGTAAATGGTCATCATACTGAAATGATAGATAATAATCATGATGAATTTGAATATGACTGGGAAGAATACTATTTCAAAGATAAAACAATGGCATTACATGGAATTTATATTCCGTAAGTTTAGTTTAGTTTTTTGTTTGCGATTAGTTTTTATCAACAGAACTTGTACGTAACTGTTTTTTCGAGAAAATCTACTTAAAATTGTTCGTTGTCAAGGAACTTTCATGTATGATGAATTAAGCAATAAATATTTAGATTCTAAAGTTTTAAAAACTATTGGGGATTCCATACTTTCAGTAGATATGATCCAGGTCTGTTAACTATGTCAACATATTTTTACGTCAAAAGGAAATATGTGATATAATACGAAATGAATCACTATTTTTATCGACAGATGTGTTGTTTGAATAAACAATAGTTTTTGATATTTTGAAAATTAGAGATTAAAAAAATCTGTGTTTTCTGTCAAGTCGTTTCTAAAAATCGTATTTTATAATTGTGAATGTCAAAATTATTTTGTTCTTGAATTTGTTCCATATTCGACATGATTTATTTAGATTGATCAGCTACAATGTTGATTTTTCTCTTTTGTCATCGTTAAAGAAAACATCAATCTATAAAAACAATTATCATAATATTCAACACATTAAAACGATATCTTTTCATTTAATGCAATCAAATTTACAATATCATACATGCCATATGCCAAATTTCCCTAGAATCTAATGTGTGCTCTCCACATTGAAGTACATTTTTGCTATTCGATAAGTGTCCTTATAAATGCGTTTCGACGGTCGACTAAACTTACTCATATATTTTTTTTTCCGATAAATGTGTTAAGGCCAACCCCCTTTTAACACGTTACCTTCTGCATCATGTCATGCAAATTAGTTATAAAGCGTTTTTTTTCTTCTGTTTGCGAAAGAAGCGCATTATAAGGCAACGTTATAGCGTTTTTATCTCCGTTCGAGTAGGGATCAAATTCACTGCTTCTATATTTTTTTTTTGATTCCGCTATTTCTATATATAACATTAACTGTATACTTGTTTAATTGATTTTTAATTTCAGTAATAATGAAAATTATTGTAGAGTATAAGAACTTTATTATGATGCTAAAATTTTTCTCAAATTAAAATAGATCTCGATCGTATGATTATACATTTTAGTGATAAGAAGTTGATTACATCATATCTATTATTACAAAATAAGTGACTTTTATTGAAGAATAATAGAGAACATATAATATCATTTAAGATTATCTAATTAAAACAAAAATGCCTTCTTCTATGGTAAATGATCGTCATACTGAAGTAACGGATAACAATGATGATGAATCTGAATGTGATACCAAGGAATACTATTCCAGAGACAAAACCTTGAAACTACGTGAAATTTATATTCCGTAAGTTTAGTTTAAATTTTTCGTTTATAATTAATTTTTATCAATAGAACTTGCATGGAACTTTTTTATCGAGAAAATCCACTTAAAATTGTTCGTTGTCAAGGAACATATATGTATGATGAATTAGGCAATAAATATTTAGATTGTATTAATAATGTTGCACATGGTATGTCGTCAAATCAGTGTTGTTTTTTTTTTTTTGTATTTTTTTATATCAATTTTTTTCAATTTCAGTTGGTCATTGTCATCCATATGTTAATAAACAAATCTATAGACAAATGGGTGCATGTGCAACAAATAATCGTTATTTACATGATAATACTGTTATTCTTGCTGAAAAAATTTCTAAAACCTTACCAAAAGGTCTTGAACAAGTTTTTTATACAAATTCAGCGTAAAATAAATTCAATGTTTATGTTCTTCGTTTTTTTTAATTTCTAAATGTATTTCGTTTTCTATGTTTAGATCTGAGGCAAATGACTTAGCAATTCGTTTAGCTAGAGAATATACAGGAAATTATGATATTCTTGTACTTGATAAGTAAGTTAAGCAAAATAAAAACTATTTATAAAGAAATAGATTTTGTATTCAGTGCCTATCATGGTCATTTAATAAGTGTTGTCGAATTATCTACTTATATGTATAAGAAAATGACGAACCAATCGAAAATGCCCGAACATGTTCATGTTGTGAGTACTTATGAAAATTGAAATAATCGATATGATAAGTAAAAAAATATCCTACTGGAGATGGAAATTTTACCAGTTACCAACTGTTTTATCTAGTGTATCGTCTGATTTTCTCGAGTTTTTTATTGTTTAATCATTAAGATTTGAGGCAAAGACACAAACTATGAAGCGAGATTTTGATTATTTTTTGAGCGCTTTTCACTTGAAGATCTATTATAATCAGGAAAGATAGTAATAATAACAATTTTATCTTAGGTTCCAACACCTGATGTTTATCGAGGAAAATTTCGTGATATTGATTATAATAATGATGAAGCTAAATTATGTCAGTTATATGTTGATGAAGTTCGTCGAATTGTTGAAGAAGCTGAATCACGTGGACGTCGTATAGCAATATTTTTTCTTGAAACATTACAATCATGTGGTGGACAAATTATTTACCCGAAAGGATATCTTAAGAAAACATTTAAGTAAATCAAATATATTCTTCACTTTCTAAATATGAATTTTCTTTTAATCATTAGTTATCTTCAATCAAAAGGTATTTTTTGTCTTGCTGATGAAGTACAAGCAGGTTTTGGTCGATGTGGTACACATTTCTGGTCATTTCAATCTTATGAAGAAGGTTAATTGAAAGCTTAAGTAAATATTTCTCTCGATCTTTTTATTAATTAGATATTGTTCCTGATTTTGTTACATTGGGTAAATCAATGGGTAATGGATTTCCAGTTGCCGCTTTAGTAACTCGTAAAGATATTACAAATAAATTTACTATTGATGGTATTGAATATTTTAATACCTATGGTGGAAATCCTGTTAGTTGTCGAGCTGCTATTGCTGTTCTTGATATTATTGAAAAAGAACATTTACAAGAAAATGCTTATGAAGTTGGTCTTTATTTTTTAAATCAATTAAAAGAACTTGGAAAAAAATATGAAATGATTGGTGATGTACGTGGTCGAGGACTTTTTCTTGGAATTGAAATTGTGCGTAATCGAGAAAAACGTGAACCAGGCATTGAAGAAGCAAAAGAAATTAGACAGAAGTAATGATTTCACTGTTTTCGAAAGAAAGAAAGACTCTTATTTGATAAGTTTGATTTCTTTTTAGATTTCGTGAACATTTTGTAATTGTTTCACTTGATGGACCTGATAATAACGTGATTAAGTTTAAATCGTAAATATTGTTTTTTGTTTTTCTTACAGTTCATCAAAAGAAAATCTTCTATTTTTTTTTATTATTTAGACCAATGTGTTTTTCAAAAGAGGATGCTGATTATTTTTGTAGCAAACTTGAAATAATAATAAGAGGAATGGCAAAGGTATAAAATCAAAAATGTCAATATGAAGAAACAAGAATAATTTTATTTTGATCGTTATGCTTGTATTCTTGTTGTTTCCATGATTGATTTCAATAAATAGGATGATTATAATCAGGCAGGGGAAATATTATATAAATACAACAGTTAATCTTTTTGAGAAAGCATTCTCATAAGAACTGATTGATCTAGGGATGACAAACGATTCATAATTTTTCGAAAGCTACTTGATTTTGATATCTAGAATTTATTGAAGATTTCATGGAACTTCTACAATTGGAGAACCTACATTCTTACCCTTCGTCGATGTGATAAATGCAATATTCTTAACTCAATGATACAACTAAAAAAAATTATAAGTATCTTGTTAGGCTTCAATCGATTCGTTCTTATCAGAGAATTATTTACATAAACTTTATTGCTAAAGAAAAGAGAGAAGTATAGTTGTTCTCAATATTACTCGATAATGTATTGCAATATCTTTATGAATCGATAAATAGTTATTAGGAGTTTAGAGAAGGTCTCTATGTTATAAATCATAAATAAAAAATATTCAATTTTGAAGCGCCACGAAGTCAGATAGAATGAAATAGATTCCAAAGATGAACTTATGAGACAACTACTCAATGTGTCACCTGTAGTCTGAGTTCATAGTTAGTTTACAAGGCAGTCTCGGTTAGACAAGCAAAAACCTACAAGAATCTGTTTTCATGTGCCCTTCGAAACCGAATTATAACCGTTTCACTTAACTTTCGACCCATTTTTGATATTTGTCGAATCAGCAAATAACGAAGTTTCAACCTAAAATTTTGTTCATAGATAGATCTGATGACCCTTAGAACACTCATTTGTAGAGACCTGCGGAGGACTCCGAAACCCGATTCCGACTCCGTCAGAGTCGGAGTCAATTACAAGTTCGACTCCGATATTTTTTTTTCGATTTATCAAAACTTAATTTTTAACATTAGTAAATAGAGAAATAAAGCGTAATATCTGTCACATAGATTTATATCACTTGTAGGACAGAAAGATGAGCGAATCACTTTCCAGTTATAACACTCGAATGATCAAGTGAGATGAAAACATAACAACATTAGTCAAAAAAGATATATTAATATCATTCAAAGTACTACGACTATCTTCATTTTTAGTTCTTCCTTGTTTAGACGAAGAACATCCAAGGCCGATAAAATCAGTANTCATATTTTCTTCTCTACAGTTTATCAATCGTTTCAAAACATAATGGGCTTCAATATGCTGATCACTGAAGCTTAATATCGCGAATCCTTTGATTTTACTTGATTTTTTTGTTCACGTCGAATGCCTGAAAAATAGCTATATCATACCCACTCATTTAAATAAGCATGAGAAAAATTCTTCTATGCTAGCTGAATAGTTTTATTTGCACACAATCATTCCAAGAAAAGGAATTACTAATCTCAATATGGTGTTAGCTTGATTAGAATAATCGATATAGGTTCACCCTTGTATGGATAGGATAATCCATCGCCATTCTTTTGCCATATCTATGTCCTTGGATTGGCAATTCTTAACTCTTGTCCACCCATTTTATCGACATATATATGGCGTGTCACTTGGTTTGTTGACTGTATAATTGCGTATTGAAATCCTTTTGTATTTCGTGCATGATTGCATATGACTCTTCGTAATCGACTTGCCACATCTTTGCCCGAATGTTCAACTCAAGTTGCCCCCATCAGAATGTATAAAACTATGTTCGCTTTTAGTTCTTTACCAAAATCTTGGCGAATGAAGATTTCATCCATTTCATCGCTTAAATCCTCTATTGACATGACTGCTGGTGGAGTAGAAACATCGTATGGATAATTCTTGTGGATTACATATAGATCCATCGTTATAATTGCTGCAACGATTTCACCTGAAGAACGATGTCGTGCAAGAAATGATAGTCGTTGATCGAAAGCCTCTATCATCCATGGCCATGACACCAACTCAAAAAATCGTTCTGGTGATATTTTATCGAATATAGTTAAAAGATTCCTTGAAGTAAACTCTTCGGCGATGAGTCGAACACAGAGATATGCATCGTTTTTATTATTGATTACTTCATACGTGTATTCGTCGATATTAGTCATGTTGTGGTTTAGGTCTCAGAAAGAGAAAATGCTTGCTGTTTTTCTCTGTTTTTTTTAATTTTCATTCTGCATTCTTATCTTTTTATCAAATATTTTTTCTAGTGCTTTTTAAGCTGTATGCAGATTCGATTTTTACACGACACTAGTGCGATATAAATACTTGAAAATGTACGAAGAACATCAATAATTCGAATTATTGTTTCTTCTTCCTTCTTGTACTATTAGTACTTCTAAAATCTTGATTTTAACAGATTTACTCGAACTTGATTATGGAGAATGTATTTGAACACACTTGATTACGTCCTTCATGATGTTTTAAGGATGATATTCAGTTTGTCCTTCGGTTCCACTGCGCGACAATGACACTACAAATTGAAAACATTTTTACATACTATGAATTTCAGAATCAATATCTGCTTTTTTTTCATTTGATTTAGTTCTAAAAAACAAACGTTTTCACAGAAACCTGTCATACACTGACCTAATGAGGTATTCGCTAAGCCATTGTTGCTAATCCAAGGGTAGAGAGCGGATGTGCTGATTAAGATAAAGAAAGTATCCAGACCAACATCCATAATCGACTCATATTCACACTGACAGTCTTCAAGATCTGAAAATTTCTTTTATCAATCGTGTGCGACCTCTTTTGCTTATTTCTACAACTTGTGTTTAACTACATGCAATAACGTCATAAACTAAAATCTTCACTCATGAAGATAGCAGCAAAACTTTTTTTCTTTTTGAGAGAGAATTGCTGTTGAGGGAAAGGGGGTGATTATGGTCAAGTCGTTCTACTTTACCTGGTAGACCGAAAGAGTATCTTTGTTTTTGTTTTTGGACTTTAGACATCATTAACAATGGCTGAAACATCATTAGATAGTATACCAAGCATCTTTCAAGATCTTCGTACGTCATTTAAATTTGGTAAAACAAAATCCATTGCATGGCGTAAAAAACAAATTGAACAATTATATAAAATGTGTGATGAACAAAAAGAAGTGCTTGCTTCAGCAGCACATGCTGACTTTCATCGACCAAATGCAGAAACACTTTTATATGATTGTGGTGTTGTAAGTTTGTCTTGAAATTATAAAATATATCGAATTTCTTAAAATGTGTGCACACTTTTTATTTTGCATGTATGTTAGCATAGATAAATGGTAAAAACCTTAATTTTTTTTAAAGATACCCCGTGAAACACTCTATAATTTATATCAGGTCAATTAATTTATAGTTGTACTTTTTTTTTTCAAAATGTAAAAGTTTGAGCGACCAAAGTTCTATTTTGTGAAGAAAATCACTTGTCGGTAGACGGCAAATTTCTTTTCTGAAGTCGCACAGAACGTAATAACAACTCACATACGTAGAAGTTTTGTTATCGAAGAAAAAGATGCGGAATTCAAAAATTTTCGAAAGTTGATCTCTTATAACTTTGTCCACTTTGAAACCAAAAATTGCAACTATATATTAAGTGATTTCATGTAAATTGCGGAGCTCTACATGGCGCATCTTGTGTTTATATTTTGATTTTTTAATGTACCTTATTAAGCGTTTAAAAATTGATATGCTAAGCGTGGCCATTTAATTTGTTGCACTGGTTAAAATGGTCTTTTCATGACACATCTTTAAAAAAAACGATTGAAGGTTCTTATCATTTATCTATATCAAAATATATGCAAACATTTCGGGACACCCGATATATGCTTTTTTGTTTCCATAGATTCGTAATGAATGTATTCATACACTTAATCATATTGATCAATGGGCACGTGATGAATATCATTCAGATTCATTAGCATATGCTACTATGGATAAATGTGTTCATCCTGAACCATATGGTATTTGTTTAATTATTGGAGCATGGAATTATCCATTTTTATTAACATTATCACCATTAATTGGTGCATTAGCTGCTGGTAATTGTGCTATTATTAAACCATCTGAATTAGCACCTAATTCAGCTGCGATTGTTGCAAAAATGGTTGAACATTATCTTGATCCATCTTGTGTTCGTGTTGTACTCGGTGCTGTTGATCAAACTCAAGCATTACTTAAAGGTGATATTGATCATGTTTTTTATACTGGTTCAACAATGGTTGGTAAAATTGTAATGAAAGCAGCTGCAGAAAAAATGATACCCGTAGTACTTGAATGTGGCGGTAAATGTCCTGTTTATGTTGCTGATGATGCCAATATAGAGGTTACTGCTACACGTATTGCATGGGGCAAAACTATTAATTGTGGACAAACATGGTAAAGTATTTTTGTAATTAAAATGAATGTTAAGAGTTTTGTGGGCTTTATTTTATTTTAGTTTAGCACCTGATTATATTTTATGTTCAAAAACAACGGAAAACCGTCTTATACCGGAAATAGTCAAAGCTTGGCAATCATTCTATACTGATAACCCAATTAATTCAGATTCGTATTGTCGTATTATTAATGGGCGACATTTTGAACGTGTAAAAAAATTAATTGATACAACAAAAGTTTTTCATGGTGGACAAACAGACGCTAATCAAAATTATATTGCACCAACAATTATGTAAAAAAGAAAAAATACTATATTTTTGTGTTCATATCTATTATATTGTTTTTACTTATTTGTTAGGACAAATGTAAATGGAACCGATAAAGTCATGCAAGAAGAAATCTTCGGACCACTTCTTCCAATAATAACAGTTAATAATGAACTCGAAGCTGTTGAATTTATTAATAGTCGACCAAAACCATTAGCTCTCTATATATTTACAGCAAATAAAAATTTAGCTAAGAATGTTATCAATTCAACAAGTTCTGGTTCAACTTGTGTTAATGATGTTATCTTCCAAATAGCTCCACCATGCTTACCATTTGGTGGTGTTGGTGAAAGTGGTCTTGGAAATTATCATGGTAAATATTCATTTGATACATTTAGTCATATGCGTGCAGTTGCTTATTCATCTACATGGTCGGAATTTCTTGTTTCTAAACGTAATCCACCTTATAATCCGAAAAAACAGCTAATTTAGAATCACTTGCAAAAGTTAGTCGAAAATGGTTATCATTACCTCCACTTGGTTTTTGGTTGTGGGCATTTGCTGCTTTAGCTACAGCAATAACAACACGTATTGGTGTTCGTCGTGTTAAGGATCACAAATAGGAATTTTAATTATTTTTGCATAGATCATAAATATTCTTTTTCCATCATTATTCTTCTGTTTTATTGATTTGATTATGTTCTTTTCATGAGTTTTGTTAGAGGCTACTTACTTAAAGCTTTGTGATAAATATAATAAACAGATAAATTGAAGTTTAAAATCAGTTTCATCTTATTTGAAGTAGTATAGAATTGGAATCTCTGATTTAACAAAAAAAAAGTTCTATTCTACAAAAATATCGTTCAGACCGAAATGAATTTACGTTTATTGGTTTTTTCAATCAATTAGAGATAACACGTAAAAGAATGCATACCACAAGAAAACGATAAAATATTTTGCATAGGACGATCAAAAAGTTCTATGAACTAGTAATATTCCTTCAATAAAAGGTACATTATATTTATTTGTCTATAGCAAATGTTAGAAAACGTTATAAGAATATTTGATATCGAACTCGGTTCACTTTTGAATAATCTTTTTATATTTATCAACATACGACAAGCCGATATCTCAGTTATTGTGTAGTCTTATTCAACTATTTTAAAATATAGATTAGATATCTACATAAATTTAATAAATTTAACTAATCAATAGCTGAGCTATCGGTTTAAGAGATGTTGATGAATACAAAAAGATTATTCAAAAGTAAATCAAATTTACTGTCAAACATTGTTATGTTGTCTTCAAATCTTTGCTGTAGACAAATAAACGTATTATACTTCTTATTGAAGGAATATTACTGGTTCTCAAAACCTTTTAATCGCCCTATATATATATAAACAGAAATATGACGGAAATTACTAAACATATCCTAGACAAACTTCTTTTCATTAACAAGCAATTGAGTTCTTCCATGAAATTCGTACAAATTTAAAATAACTTATACTCTGAATGTATAAAAATTGTAGGAACAGGCGACTGCAGAGAAACCCATTAGAAAAAAATTACGAAAGCAACTGTGTTCAAAACGAAGGAATACTCTTCGGTATTCAGACCATCTAGGCTAATTATTAGCATAGATTTCATATAAGATCTGTGCATTAAAATATATTTTACTTCGTCGCTGAATGTTTATTATAAAATCAATTTTCAATATATACAGTTGAAGGAAAAAAAGCACTTTTACAATACAGATAATTTCATTTCATGCATTACAATCATCGTTTTCACTGTTATGAGAAATGATTGAATTCGATAGAATGTGAATATCATTTGGTTGCGTATAAGATGGACTTGTGTTACCTTGCCCACAAAATAAGAGCTCAGTAGGTTTGTAATTTGTTCGGAAAATTACTTTTTTTGAAGGTGAAGTTCTATTGCTATCAACTTTTTTGTGTTGTAGAACACAAAAATGCAATAAATACTAAAAAATTATATTCCCAAAACAAAAGCAATTTACTCTGTTTCAAATCTTTGAGAGTTTCCTCATCACTGCCTTCATCAATTCCTTTCACTAAACTATATACAATAAGACAGTTTTGTTTTCAATTGGTTCTGAAAGCGAAATTAAATGTATAAAAGGTCAAAACATAGTTTTAAATTTATTTGTTTCTGATAATCAATATAGTTCTACACTGTTTGTTATTCTACTAGCATTATGAAAACCACCAGTAACTAACAGGGGTGTGGGTGTGGGTGTGGGTGGGTGCGAGTGCGAGTAACTGTGGATGTGGATGCATGAATGCTTTTTACACACCCACACCCACACCCCACACCTACCCCTATATAAAAATAAAGCGTTTCGAATAATTTACAATTCACTAGATGCAAGGTCGACTGACACTTGATTACAAGAACAATGAAGTCAATGTTTCTTTTTTTTCGATGAATATGTCTTCAACATCGATATTCATCTTGAAAATCAGAAAATAGGGTGAAAGACAGAGTAACGAGAACTTTCTTCAGAATGCAGAAGAGAAGGTCATGCAGCTTGCAATATTGGACTAATATTCGCTTCAAATACTAATTAATCAACGCTTCATCTCTGCTCATAGTTCAAAACTTATCTTTATAGAATTTTTTTCTTCATTTATGAAACATTTCCCTAATTATTATTAGTTCATATTCATAATTTCATTCATCAGTTATGCATGGTCTTTGTTCATTGATGCATACGACATACGGAACTTCTTCGTCTTTATTCTCTTTCATTTCTCTTTTCTCACCGGTAGCATCAAGTGTAAATGTCATCAGCAGCAAATTTCTATTTCTTCATTCGATATCTATCTCGATATGGTTGTATGATACTTATGGTCACTAGTACTATTAGTTGTGTATTAAATTTATCGGTATTTTTCAAGGAAAGTTTGCGAAAAAATCCGTGTACAATTTATCTTATAGCCATCAACATTCTTAATTTATTCTACTTTTATTGGGCTTTCAATATTACTATCATTACAACAGGCTACGGTGTTAATCCTGGTGCAACCAATCTTGTATTCTGTCGATTTCTTTATTATATTTCAATTGTTTTATCTTGCTGGAAATCATCTTATTTTATCTTGGCATCAATCGATCGAATCATGATCACTTCACCAAATGCTGCTACACGATTGCGTAGTACACGTCGTTTAGTTATCACATCTCTAATTACTATCAGTTTATTTTGGGCCGTAGTTCATACGCATATATTTGTCTACATCCAAATTCTACATTTTGGACCATTTTATTCAGTTTGTTATTATCGATCAGGTGCCTACACAACATTTATGACTGTATACTTTGTTGGAATCAGTGGAATTCTTGTTATATCATTAATGACTATATTTGGGCTATAGTCAATAAAGAATGTTCGTCGGCTTCGTCGACCAGTTCAACCTACTGGAACAGCTGCTACTACTGGAAATGTAGTAGGTGGTAAACCTAATAGTCTTCAATCGAACGATCATCAACTGATTCGAATGTTACTTGTGGATATATTGGTTTATATCATTTGTAAATGTCCAGTTCAAATCATGTCTATCTACAGTGAAATCACAAAATATCAGGAGAAAAGTCATGATCAACTTTCAATCGAACAATCCATTTACCAATTGACATATTTTATATTCTATGTAGAAAATTGTATCGGCTGTTACATCAATATACTTGTATGAAAAACATTTCGTAAAGAATTAAAAGATATTTTATTCAAGGTTCGATTTTGTCGTCATTAACGCAATTAATTGAAAAACTCTTTTTATTGACATTAATAATTGAAAATGTATTCTTCGAGTCAAGCTTTGTTTATATGCAATAAACTATAGAAGAAAAACTGTTGTCATATATTTCTTCAATTTCTCCAGTGAGGGAAATATTTAGAACAGATTATTTTAGAGAATGTAATGGCCATATTGATCGGTCTCAAGGATCATAACTAGATTTGTTCTGAATCTTTCACTGATTGAGAGTGAAACTGAAACTTCAGACCTACACAAAATGTGTAATGTCTCTACAAGAGCGTAATTGAAGAAAAAAGATCATCAACTGATAGACATATTTCAAGAAGATATGCAGCAATGAAAAACAGAATGAAATGAGACGTCAGGATAAAAAATGTGGTAAATAAAAATATTCTTTCGACATGTAGTCAATTTCATACTATTAAGAATAACTACTATGAATAATCTACAATATGATTCATTTCCAACACTTTCTTACCTAGATGATAATTATCACGTTGTGAGCGACATTTTGCTGAGCTTTCAAGCAAATGTAAATGATTAAACTGCTTAAAATAGGTGGAAAATTATATGAATTCAAGCATTTTAAAGAAATGACAATTCCTATGTTTTGAAAGCATTGTATTTTTTGAAATTTCTAAGCTCTTTTGTTTTCTCAATCTTCTTTAAATATTGTTTGCGTGATAACTGCTATCAATATTTCTTATCGTATTCTTCTAGTTTATACTGTTTGATGAATTCATTCTTTGTTAAAGATTTTGACGTAGCATGAAATAAATAACGTATGAATAGATGTATATGTTTCTGTTTACATATTCGTATATTTTCGTCTTCTGATCTGTTGTTTAACTCTGCAATTTTTCGCGTCTTCTATTAGAATGAGAATGGGCTTGTATTTTTCTTTCATTTCGATGCGTGTTCGACAGTAGATAATATGAAATCCGCGAAGTGAATTCAATCCAATTATGTAATAAATAATATGTGTTGACTTAAGTCAGTGTGAGTGTAAATGTGGATGCCTGTTTTATTTTTACCCACACTATTTCTAAACATGTCTGACGAATTCATTTAAGGTAATAAATCATGACTACTGATAGTAACGCATTCTTTTGAAATGTTTGAGACTAGCTGATATGTTTGATTTTCTTATGCATTCTTTTACCAAGCTAAAATTGTATCGAGTTTTGCGAGTCATCGACATTACCACTGCACTCACTAGAGTGCACTTCACCTACAATATTTCTTTCTATTTGTAAGAACTATTCAATGATCTAGTTTTCAAAATCATCTTTATCACAACATCGAAATGTAACATTTGATAAATATTTTGCTCGCTTTAGTATCAGTGTTGTGTCTTCCACATACGTGATATTAATGTCGAGACGTGTGATATGTTGTGACAGTTTCAAGTAGATAGCATCGATAGTTATCAGCTTCATTCTCTCCGAATTATTGCAGCTAATTCGAATTGAACGAAGATTATATGCTTGTTTGAATAGAACATCCATTGTAGTGTCTAAACTGGTAGCAAACATACACCCGCACTGAAAATCTATACAATCTAATCATTGTTTCAAACGCTATGTTCTTTTCACACATGTATTCTACACTTAATATGATTTTCAATCTCTAATAGATCAATAAAAATGAAATCGGAATTTTTTCGTACATTTATAAATATTAAGTGCATAGGATATACGTGTGTGGATTAGGGTTCTGCGGAAACGACTTTTTCCCGTGTTTTCCCGTCCCATTTCCCGCGGGAATCGGGAACGAGAATTCTCGTGCGACCTCAGGAACGGAAATGCGGGAACGGGAATCGTAGTAAAAAGTTGCTGTTCCCGGCAAACCTTATGTTCGATTTCTGTTTGCATTAAAATCTGTTTATGTTACAGTATTTAATTTCCAGAAACTACTTTAAATATAATTGAAAAGATAACAAATATCAATCAACAAAATCAAATAAGTGCATTCAAACATAGATTATGAGAACCACGATATTCTTTACCAACATCGTCGTCGATATCGAAGCTGGGTTCATCAAGATTACATATATGTCGAACTTCAAACCTGAATTCAATTGAAATTTCAACTTTCAACTGAAATTTCAGCTTTCAAGTTTCAATAGTTTTATGAGCTTCAAGTCAGAGATTTAGTTTTAAAATACGAAATCTTATATTGTGAGAAACATGAGGTCCCTAAAAGCTAGTATGAAGTAGGAGTAGTTGCGATGAATGTGAATAATGATATCATTGTAGCTGTTCTCAAAGCATTACGGGAACGGGAGCACGGGATCGGGAACGAACATTTTTGTTATGGGAACGGGAACGGGAACAAAAATTTTCAATACGGAAACGGGAACCAAAAAAAGTTGTTCCCCCAGGTCCCTAGTGTGGATGCGAATCACATGTAAAAATTTAAGCAAAAAATCTAGTTTAAAATAGGTTATATTTTGTACTTAAAAGTATCTGCAAATAGTTACATATTGAAGCATTTCAAAGCACTGGATTTCAATGTACGAACATTCGTAGATGATCTTCTCCAAATGTCATCATACTATGTTTTTATGCAGAAATTCTGGACGAAAAATTTTAGCAATAAACCATACTTCTCAACATTGATTTGCAATTTTCTAAACATGAAGGCTTCAATTAGATTATCTCATATACAAAGTTTCATCAGTTTTAAGATGGTAATATCAACATCAAAATTTCTCAAAATATATTCTTTTTAATATTGTTTGAGATATAGCTATTTTGAGTCAATGTGTATTTTGATATTGTGAACTTATAAAGTGATGACACTTTGTAATCGAATTGAGCTCTTCATGTTTATAAAGTTGCAAATCAAATTTGAAAAGTATGTTTAATTGTTCTAAAACTAGTTGTCTAGAAGGAATTGAGTGAGAAGACATTATATCAATTAAATATGAACATAGTATGAGAACAATTGAAGTGGATAATCATCAGCGATGTTAACTTTTTCAAACTTCTTTTTGGTATAAAAGCATGCGTCGTACAATTTACAAATGACAGTTTATTTGATGAATGCATCTTTTGTTTTCAAAATAGACCAAATTCTATGTGATCAATATTTGACGTTGAGAAAAAGATGATCTTTTGGTACAAAATGTACCCTTTTTATTATTTCGTCAATTGATGGATCAATTTTTTTAAACTTCATTCCATTACATATTGTTATAATTAAAACATATATCAATTGATCTAAATCCAACCACCGACTACGGACTTTGATATGAGCCTTTAAATAAGGTGTCTTTTTTAAATTGTAGAGCTTATCACGCTATGTCTTATAGTCATTTTTTCTTACTCAGTTATTGAAAATTGAAGTGCAAAAAGGTGACCATTTATTCTCATCGATATTACATTTTCTTAGGTTTAATACAAATTGATTGCTATTTTTCTTTGACGATAGCTTAGATGTGTGATCAGTGTCTGTTTACCTTTAAATACAGGAAAAATAATTCAAAAATAAAAATAGAACCGAAACCTAAGAAATATCCTTTATTTAGGAGACAAAATCATTCATAAAAATTTTAAAGGTAATAAAAGAATTATGCATATTATTCAAAATTATTTACTTTTAGAAACAATTCGGAATTCTAACTGGAACCGAAGAAAGTGATTTTACCGGTCCCCAATCGTAACGCTTAAAAATGAGAAAAATTACAGCGCATGTGGATGTGACTTTGATTCTCGACAAGGTTCACATCTCGAACCGACTGGTGGATATTTTTTGAGAATTTTGAATGCTTTTTTCTGAAAGATAACGAAAGCTAATGATTTAAAAAACAGCAAAACATTCAATGAAGTTAATCGACGATTCAGCGCATGCTGTGCAGCAATGATTTCGTCGGTAGAATGGCTTCAAAAATATTCTATATTATCAGTAGCACAATGGAATCTTTGAACAAAAAAGAACAGTAGATATTACATATTCGAAGTATGTTCTATTCAAACATAATTTTTTTTATCATACTGATCTTGCTCTTACCTTCTTTAGCATTTCATTCGCTCAACTACCGATAGACATATGGAGTTCATTTTAGACAAATCCGTAGCACTTATTTTCAAAT